TGTTTGTAATTTCTACACTTTGTTTAAGAAACTAACTAGATATGAGTTTACCTATTGTTCGATACGAGGACAATAAGAGGTTAAAACCTCCTATCGATCACAAGAAGAAAACAAACAATGTTTATTAATCTAACCATTTATCAGTAAGACATAAGTGGTTAATAAGGGTTCTTTTCTCAGAAAACAAATAATACCTTATATTGAATGAGCTGTGTACGGTATAAAATGATTGATATCTTGTATTTCTTATGCATAAAGTTACTACCATTCCGTTTTGCCGTAACTCATTATATTCTCTGGTTGTTGTGATTTATGATTTCATTGTTGTCATCATCGTCCTTATATAAAGCCTTTAGGAATTTCTATAGAACAAGATTTATATCAATAAACTACTTATCCAATACATCTCATTTAAGCTATAAATAAACTTCAAACTTACGATATTAAGATTTTCAGCAAAATTTCTCTTGGAGGCTTTTGACACAACAAATGGGGGGTATCTTGAGCTTGAAAGAGGAGAACAAGGAGGAAATGACCGTGCTTACATATCCCCTGCAGACATTAAGACAGTCAAATTATGAACGAGGTTTAGTAGCGTAAATGTACTCTGTTTTGTAAGCATTTAAACCTTGAATATGGAACTAGCAGACCTCTCTTTGCAATTTTTTTAAACTTGGATATTGCATCCGCCTGTAAAAACTACACATATAGGATTGAATAATCCTGCAAAAAATATGTGCCTACAGAAAATCAAATATATGAAACAAGAAACAGTACAGAACCCTACTGCAAGTCAGACTCCGCTTACGTCATCTAATAAACTTGTTCTCGTCATTGGAGCACGGGAGGAGTTGGTAAGATTCTTTTAAAATAGTGTTCTTGTAATATTAAGTACTACGACGCATTTATCTTAACACTAATGTTTGGATGAGTCATTTAAGGCTTTAAATGAACTTCCTTGGTTCAAAATGATGCAATTTATTTGTAGTTTGAGGGTTAAATTGTTATTGTTGGTGCCTAAATTTGTATGTTATTCAATAATTGTCTGTTGTTTTCTTGTAAACCTGAACACATAGTTTTGAAAATCCTAAACCTAAATCGGATGGGTTTGACAATGGAGTAATAGCTGCACTAGAGGATTGGTCCTTTCTTTATAAAAATCTAAGATATTACTGACCCTTTGAATTAGTATATGTTCTAAATGATTGTTAAGACTACCATATGGGGACATGACAAGCTTTCCTGCTAGTATGAGGGGTACTATATCAAGGTTTCAGGAGATCTCATATGGAGTATTGTTTTAAACAA